CTCTGGCTTGTTCTACTTCACTGTCCCATAGTGGTGGGAAACCAGCCTCGGGCCCAWCAAGAGGTGATGGTGGCTCCTACCCACCCCAGGTTCCTCTATCTGCCCTGGCAAGGGAGCCTGATCCCTGGCTGGGGMACCTGTGGCTGTTGCTCCTCKTAAGTGGACAGGTCCACTCCATTTCCTACTCCCAGTCCTGACTTCTGCAAGCACCAGGTGTCCAACCACCAGCAGGCCAGCTGCCTGTGTCCCTCCTCCCTTCATCACAAGACCCCAAGCCTGCCTCCCAAGAGCAGAAGCTGGAGAGGAGGACCAGTCTTCCTGCCCAAGCCCTGGGCTGCCCCACCCCAAGCACACCTTCCCTCCTATTGTCCCCATTCCAGGCCACTGACAAAGGACAGACCTCACACTCCAGACTGCCAGGACCCTGGGGGCATGGGAGCCATGCCAGCCTCAGCTAATGGACAGGATGAGGGCCAAATGGACAAGAGCCTGTGAGAGGCATAAACTGCTTCCAGGAAGCTTCAGCTGCACTAGAACACCTGAGTGACCTGGTTACCCTCTACATCTCAGCTGCCATCAACAAGGCCACTCAAGTGGAAAACCACCTAGCCCAAGAAGCTGCAGTGCTGTCGGACTCCGTGCAGGATTCAGTGGACTGACCCAGGGACCAGACTGCAGCATGCAAAGTGGCTGCAGGCTTTGACCCACCTCCCAGCCCGACAGCTTCTCAGCAAGGCAGGAAAAGGGAAGCCTGTCGCCTGACTATGAGTGTAGGAGAAACTCCATAGGCAGTTCCTCAAATGCCCATGTCCAAAGGTCACCAGCCACTTCCCACTTATTAAATCCACATGTTGAGACAAACGGGGACCCTCCCCATCACCAACCACCGTGTGGCAATCTTTCCATGATCCGATGAAGGCGCTCTAGGGTTCAGCTCTTGGCCAGGATGAGTGGAACAAGCCTGACCTGCACTTACTAGTCTGCCTGCAAATGACTCTTTCCTGCCCCATTTGCACATGCCTGGCTTTACTCAGCAACTTGGTCTCCCCCCAACTATAAAAGTGACTATGCACATTCTGTTCACTACCCTGTAGCCCACCCTGAGGTCAAGACCCACCACCTGGGAGGTGCTTAGCCTGGACCTGGTGGTATCTTCTAGCCTGGCAACACTTGCACGCCCCAGCTCCAGGAAGCCTGGCCTGGGACCCAGCTGAGCTCTGCCCACCACAGAAGGACGTGCAGAGGGGGGGTGCGAGGATATACTTATAAAACACYAACTCCAAAGTGTTGAACCTGCTTTATTACCTGCCTGGAAAACAATCCTCCAGCCCAGGRGGAGGGCCTAATCCTCCTCCTCATCATCACCAGCCCCGGCCCCACCCTGGCCCTTCTTGGCATTCTTCCTCTTCACGCGGCCTGGGCGGCCACCCCCATATGGAGACCGCAGGGAGAAGTCGATGTGCTTCTGGGAGTCCAGGCGGACAATGAAGGACGGGATGTTCACCACCTGCTTGCGGACCCTGAAAGGAGAAAGGCAGTCAAGGGGCCTGGGCGGAACCAGTCCCCCAACCAAAACACCACTCTGCTCTGGGATTGTGCCTTGCAGCTAGCTAGCTGTGCTGACCCATGGTGTGCTGGGGTACTTCTCAGCTTTGGACCCCTGTACTGGGTCAGCTTTAGGCCATCGGGACACCACCCCAATGCTTTGGGTGAGTTTATCCTTCACTTTACAGAAGAGGAGAGAAATCAAGAAACCCACACAAGACCCCAGAGGGGGAGTTGGGGCTGTGGCTCAGTGGTAGAGCGCTCGCCTCATATGTGCGAGACCCTGGGTTCGATCCTCAGCACCATATAAAAATAAATAAGTTAAATAAAGGTATTGTGTCCAACTAGAACTAAAAGTAAATAAGTGCCCTGGGTTCAATCCCAGGAACGGGGTAGGGAAGAGAACTACATCTAGCCCTCAACTCAATCCCGCTTTGCCCTGTCTCTGCATCAGGTGCCATCCTGCCAGCTGGACTACTGCGGTCCTGGTATCTGCACCAAACCTCTGGAACAGGCTCCAGTGAGCCCAGCAGAACTGAGCCCACCCAGTTGCACCCAATCCTCACCATCCAGGGGCACCAAGAGCTGTTACCTSTCCAGCTGCCTGCATGCCTGACAGAGGCCTTCGCAAGGTGTACGGCTTAAGCCGCAGTGACCCTTGCGCTGACAGGGGCTACAGGGAACAAGGTTGTCCCCAGATCCCCCACGAGATGTTTGCAGGGTGTGAATCCATACCCTCACACCTTTGTCAGCTCCAATGGCTGCACAGGAGACAGGGACAGCAGGCTTAGAGAGGGCAACCATCAAAGGGAATAGGGAGATTCAGGGGTTCAGCAGTCGCCATACCTGATGTGGCGCTGGCGAATGAGCACACGTGCGTGGTGGATGGACTTGGCSAGGCCCAGCTTAAAGACCTGGGTCTGCAGGCGCCTCTCCAAGAAATCCTCAATCTTCAGGCCCAATATGTAATCCAGCTTCATCTTGCCCTCATCCAGCACMCCAATGCGGACAAGTCGTCGCAGCAGGGCATTGCCTGGAGGGACAGAGTAAGTTTTCACTCAAGAGTTCTGACCTCAGACTTCTAGGGATCAAATCCTGGGTCCACCTCTTGAAGCTCCATGTTGTGGCAGTGCTACGTTGAGACAAAGGCTAACTTGACACAAGACTTAATTGTACTTAACCAACATGAGGTAATACTGAAAATCATCCTAGTCACCTGTTTTAACAAGGAGAGCAGGTGGCCACATGTRCCTATGTTCTTGTCTAGAAAGTGCTGGTACTATGAAGCTACTACRGCCCTAACAATGCAGAGGAAGAGCTGCTCTGTAGGGCCAAAAAGCTCTGCTGTGAGGCAATCACACTTTTGGCCCATTCTTAAGGGGCTAGTACCAGCACCTATCCTTAGGACTGAAAAGAATAATTCATTTCACTCTTAAATCACACACCTTTGAATCTGGCTCAGGGCAGGCTGGATAAAGGAAGCTGAGGACAGGATGCCTGYAGTTCCTGGCTCAACACTTTTGTTTACTAGAAAGTCCTACCCCCTAAGGAGCCACCACCCCCTCCAACTTTCACTTCTACCCTGAAAAACCAGGCAGCCCTCATGAAGCTGCAGCTCCCTTTCCACATGAGAAGCACCAAATCATAGACCTTGTGTTTAGTTCTGTGTTCAAAAATGACCCATAAAACAAGAACTAGCTGTGGCCTGCTCCCCCTAAGCAAACTAGCTTAGGATTTGCGTCCTGGTGCCACTCTTGTCTCTGAACACAGCTGGATAAGTTGTCCCTACCCTCTGTGGACCTCAGTTTTCTCCCTGTGCAAAAAGGACCCCAGACAACTATGGGAGAAACTGCCTCTGGTCATCAGTGCCCATGACAGAAGGGATTCCAGAGCTTTCATGAGCCTTTCAAAGAGATCTATTATCTAGCAAAAGAATGAAGACTTCAACACCCACAAGCCTTGATAAGTGACATGCACGCTAATTTTGTCCTCCTTAAGCTCCATGACATGTAGGACCATCCTCTATTCCTGCATAACTCCATCACACACAGGGAGGAAAATCTGATTAGTAACCCTATATGAAAACTAAAGCCAGTGGCCCAAGGAGCCAGGCCTCCTGATTCCCATCCCATTTTGTTTTCCCCTACATCATTATCTAAGCTCAGGCTTAGGGTGTCAAGATGGTGTGAAAGCCAAGCACAGTGAGCTACTCAGCAGCATGAACAGTTCAAGGCCAGCCTCAGCAACACAAATCTGAAAATAAAAAAGGGCTGGGGATACAGATCAGTGATGGAGCAACCTGGGTTCAATCTGTAGTACTGCCAAAAATAAAAGGTGGCAAACCCTATGTCATCGCCTGAACTCTTTTCCTGAAGATATCCACATCAMCCCCCCTTCAGGCCTTTACTAAATGTCACTTAAAAGAGTCTTAACCAGCTTACTGCAAAAAGGAAGCAAAGTAAACCTCCAGGCCAATTTCCTGCTATCAGACATTCCTGAAATTTCAGGCAAGGCCTTCCCACCACCAGCAAACAGGACACAATAAAGAGCAGAATGCTTTGCTGTGTAATACACAGGTCGTCTGATGTGCAAGCAGGACTGCCATCACCAGCTCTAGACACATATTGAAAATGTCACACACTCATAAGGCAAGGGTAAGATCCGGATACTTTTCTCATACACATCTCCATTAAATAAATAGCTAAATTAAGGGGAGTGTAGCTCATTTATAGACCACTTTGCCTGAAGTGTACAAGGCCSTGGGCTCCATCCTCAGCACCAYACACATACTCAAAACCCACCACTAAGTGAGGAAAGGCGGCCTCGGGGCGTGGTGAAGCAAACTCACCATTCAGGGCTGACTTGAAACCCCAGCACCAAGGAAAAAGAAAAACCGCTAAATAAAAAACTGACTCCGCTTGTTCAATGTCACACCTCTAACCAGATTAGTCTAGATCTCGGCAGTCCTGCACCCCACCCCTTTGGGACGACCACGTACACACCTTCAAACAGACGTCGGGGGTCTTTTTCGTCCAGCGTCAGCAGCTCCCGGGCAGCCTTGCGAATTTTGGCCAGAGTAAATTTGACCCTCCAGACCTCACGTTTGTTCCGGAGACCATACTCGCCTGCAGTAGAGTGGAAGGGCGGGTTGATAGTCTCAGGACGACCGACTAGTACAACACCTGGATTGACAGCGCCAGGAACCACCCATCTTCCTGCAGGAGACGCCCACAGGCCGCACGTGGGCGGCCTCCCCACGTGCTACCCTCCCTGACCTCGGAAGCCGAAACCCTGCCACTCACCGATCAGCTTCAGTTCTTGGTCGAGGCGGGATTTCTCAAAGGGCCTCCGCGGGGTCACATACGTTTTGCGACAGACCCAGCTCCGGGCCACCGGCATGTTGGCTCGCTTGYCTGTCTGCGCCTGCGCGGGAGGGTAACACTCCGTGTGAGTACTCCATGCGGGGCCTGCGCAGTCCGCACGTCCGCCGAGAGCTTGTGGCACTCTGGAGCGATCTCGCGAGGCGCGCCCCAAAAGCTTTTCTAACCTGTCGCCCCCCAAAACATTCGCTCCCTAACTTCTGTGTGGTCACTAAAGCTCCGAAGGCCCGCGGTTCTTATAACCCAAGTCCGAACTAGAACGCACGTGAGCAGAACTTACCYACACGCAGTGCCGGAAACAGAGAGAGGACTGTGCGGTCCGCGTCGCGCCTTTATAAGAACCCTGCCTGTCGTTACGTCATTGCGCAAGGCGCACGTCCGAGCCAATCAGAAGAAGCGTTGGCTGACTGCAAAGCGGTAGAGACGAGAGGSTGGGCTAGAGCGGCTTGTTGGGTTGCGAGGACGGAGTTTGTACGCGTCTGGGGACCGGAACGCGGAGGTCCGAGGAAGGTCGAGAAGAGCGCTTCTCCGCGTTTGGCGGTAGTTCTGTCACGGTACAGGGTCCGAGGAGGTGTGCACTGGGAATCTAAGGACGTGTCCGGTCGCAGAGCAAGAAGGGAGGGCTTTATCGGAAAGTTCATGCTGGAAGGTGTGCGCGAGTTCTCCCACCAACGCTTAAGGTCGGGTTTTTATTGAGGTTCATTAGGTGGTGCTGGGCCGTCAGGGGCTTGGGAGACTGAGGCAGAAGGACGGCAAGTTCAAGGCCAGCCTCAGAACTTAACGAGGCTATTTTTTTATCTCAAAAAATAAAAAAGAATGGGCATGTGACACAGTGGTTAAGCTTCCCTGAGTTCAGTCTCCAGTACACCCCCCCCCCAAAAAAAAAAAAAAACGGTGAAATACGCATGATCCAGAGGAACGGCACTTAACCTCTGGCTGGGAAATATTGAGCAAGGTATTATTTTCCCGTTG